ATGCATGAAGATGAAGATAAAGTTTTTCTAAGCAAAACTATAGGGCTTGTGTGCAAAAGCATTGTTTTTCTCTTTAATCATGAGGCTTTGTTCAATGATGGACCAGCATTTTTTGTGATTACAACTCTGCTAGTAGTTATAAATTGAACATAACCATTTGAATTGGGGAAGAGGTTAGTTATAAATAATGTAAGGCACAAAAATATGAGAGAAATTTAGATCGATAAAAATGTGTAATCTTTATTCAAATGAATGTATTTGACCTAAATATTCCTTAGATGGAGTATTAAATCAGCTTGTTCATACCACCCTTTTCTTCAAGTACACAAGGGGTAAACTGGATCCCTCCCCATCTTTTTGCTTTAATGTCCTGTTCCTTACATTTCACAAAATACTGTATGTATGATTATCTCAAAATTATGTTCTATAAAGTGTAGATTATACATTATTGGATTGGCGTGCAGTTATCCTAAGGAGTATTTTAGAAAAAGTATATTGGGATTCCATCTTCTTGAAAGCGTTGAACACTAGGTTGCTCTTCAGCATGTCTTTACTGTGAATTTTGGTGAAGCAAGGCAGTTTGAGACAGGTTGTTGAGGGAGAGATATTGCGGGGGGGGGATTGTTTTGTTTTGCTTGTTTTCATTGATGTTTTTTATAGCGGAGACACTTTTACCTGGTTTTTTATTATTTGGGGGTTTTAGTCTATAAAATACATAGTATGCTTATAGAACCTTTTAAAAATTTAATTACATTATTTTAAAGTGGATAACATAAAATTCATTCCTTTGAAAATCTTTGACTCTTCACTCCTTTCCCCACACTAGGCTCGGGAATTACAAACCAGAGTGCTTAAACGGACTCAAATAGAACAGCTGGATGCAGTTCCTGCACAGAAGCAGTTAGCGGCTGAAATTTGTGCTGAGATTGCAAAACATTCTACAGCCCAGCGAAACTATGAAAAAGCAATTAAATTTTACAAAGAAGCTCTTGTTCACTGTGAAACAGATAACAAGGTCAGTTCTCCCTCTATTTTGCATTGTTTTTCCATTCAATTTTGATATCTAGCAATACATTTCTCTGACTATCCACAGTGTAGAAGTATATTTGCAATTATTTCTGCTTTATGATATACATAGAGCCTTGAACTTCCTCCTCTTCGTTGCTTATCATGATAAAATAGTTGTACGTACTGCTAATTTCTGTCTCTTACACAAACTCCTGATTCAAGTGGTGGTCTGCATGCACTCTGAGTTGCCTATTAGATCATATAGTGAGCCTGTCTTCATATACCAGTTGAGGACATGTAAGGTATGGCATGGTAATAATGGAGATTGTTTCAATCTTGCTTGTTGCCTGTCCTCTGGAATTGAAGTCCCAGTGATTTGGTCAGTTCAGACAATTTCTGTCTTTTCTGTATCTGTTTTAGCAGTTTCAGACTTTTATCTGGACTTGGTAGGATTCCGATTTTAGTCATAAAATGTTGATATTGTTGAGCAGTGATTATTGCACTGCTGCTCTCTTCCCTGCACTGTCTCTTTCCCACAAGTCTGCCTGTTGATAAATGCTGGTAAATTTGAGCTTATTTTTATCCCCCTCTTCCTTATTCTCCTTTCACAGCCCTGTGTTTTAGAGATAAGAGAGGGAGAAGCAAAAGGCTAAAAAATTTATAATGAGCACCAAAACTAAGTGTCAACTTTAGTGGGTTTTTTAGATTAAAAATAAATAAATATAACTTTTGTCAAATTTCCATGATTTTCTAGCATAAGTGTGTTGTATATTTAGGTGTATGTGAAGTCGTCTTATTTTACTGCTTCTTATTGCACAGCTGTCAGATTCACCAGCTGCTAAATTATCAGCATCTCACCTGGTTTTAATACTTGAACTTGTGTGTTGTGGTTTCAAGAATCTAGGTCCTTCCTAAAGCTACAACTTCAGAATCTTTGAGACAGGCTTTCCTCAAGGCATCTTGTAAGAATGATGAAAGAGAAGAAAAATAAATTGGGAGAGGAATAAAAACATCCTTAAAATCTTCTAAGGAGGGTGACTTCCCCATTCTATCATTAAGAGCGAGGAGACTGCCTGTCATAGTACAGATACAGCTATGGCTTTTGTGGTATGCCATCCCAGTGATTCAGTATTAAAGCCTTAATCTTTTTTTCTTTCACACCAGTGCTGAAATACCAGCATGGCATTTCCCTTCAGTTCTTGCTAAAATCAAGCAAAATAATATGCTATTGAGAGATTCCCATTGTTACAAGATATGCTGTACACTGACATTTGTACTGAATATCTCTTTTAGATGTACTTACTGGAGATTTTTGCTTTAATCCTACTTTGCTAGCAACACAGAATACAATGACATCTTAGAAAATCTAAGACTGAATTTCTGATTAAGAGCTTGTTCCCTGCTTAGAGTACTGAAAGCAAAATACTTTTGGTTACCCACAATTAGTATAAATGAGTCATCTCACTCTATTTCTACAGTTTCAGTAGATTTGAACTTGTTTTCTTCCCTTCATTTTTAAAAACATTGCTGGTACAAGGTTGGAATTGAATTCTTTTAGATTACAAAATACAAATTTGAGCTGTTAAGTACCTGCCTGTATCTTGATGTCTTCACAGAGGTTACTTTCCTTAAAATTATATATGGAAGTATTGGAAATTCCTTTGAAGCTATCTGTACCTTGTTTCATCAGAACAAAATCTGCTGTGTTCTAGCCAAAGTAACCCAAAACAAATTTGAAATGTTGCATTAAACAAATTATTCAGCTAAATGTGAAGAGATTGCAGTCCATGTCATAAGGGTTTTGGGCTGGGTGGTTTTGGTTTGTTTTACATAGCTAAATCTGTTAGGTAATACCCTACCTTATTTCTCTGACCAGATAAGAGGCAATGCAGTTTCCAGATGCAGACTTGAAGTGGATCACAGACTGCATCAAGCACATCATTTCACAGTATCATTGGTGTTGGGGTTGAAAACTTAGAGATCACTTCCAGTCACTAGAATTTAGTGTAGAAGTCCAGTTTAACTGGCATTCTTCTCTGACATGCCCAAGGCAGGAAGTGTTCCTTGACTAGCAGACTGCTTTTCGGTCTTCCACAGTGTTATGCACATAAGAACAGTGGCTTTTGTAATTAAAATTCTTACATGTATGCTATCTCCATATCATTTCAATGCTTACCCACCTGCCTTTCTGTTTCAGAATTACATAGTGTATGTTTAAATATGTAAATAACAGGAAGTAGGAAGACAACTGTTGTTAAATATTATGCAAGTAGCCTTCATATCCTGAACAGGACGTCCAAAACTCTATTTTGATTCAGAAGTGCCTTTCACAGGTGTAACCACAGAGACAATTGTAATGCAATTATAAATGCCTCCTTTTTAAAAACAAAATCAAAGTACTATTTAAAATTAAGCAGGAGTAACATTGCTTACTGTTTATCTACTGCTAATTTTACTTTGCAATTGGTTTAACTCCGTTTGCTTCAATGGCAACTTCATTGAATCTGTGGTAACTGTTGTGTTTATAAACTTTTCTGTGGCATTTTATTCAGAATAGTCTATGATGGGATTTGAGCCTTAAGGATGCATGCTTATGTACATTTCAGTTTGTTAATATTTATTCTGCAGTTGTTTCTCAGAAATGGATCTGCACGTGGTCTTAATGTAGTAGGTTTGGAAATGCAAATAAGAAAACTGTTTCTGCTGGAATTTGCTTATACTCCAGAACTAATTGATGAATGTTAATAAGGTATTTGCTTCTGTCACCGAGTTTAAAACTACTTGTGTTTACTTTTTTTTCCCCCAAGAAAATTATTCTTACCAAAATACTGTAGTCCTCAGAGCAATACTTTCTGAGCAGCTATTTGCAATGTACCTCCAGAATATCCCTCTGAAGAAGAAAAGTTTTATCTGTTTTAAAGGTGAGGGAATGGAAATGAATTAAATTACTTGACCAAGAGCCCACAGGAAACAATAGAGAAAGCGCTCTCTTTAGAAGAGAAATAATTTTTTCCTGAGGCTCTAAAATCTCAGGTTAATACTTGTAGAACTGAACTAGCTTTCTTTAATCTTTGAATTATATATAGTTAAATATTTTAATCTACAGGCAATGTTGGAACTTGCACGTTTATATCTTGCACAAGATGATACTGATGCCTGTCAACATCAATGTTCCCTTCTACTGAAGAATGACCAAGATAATGAAGCAGCAACAATGGTATGTGCTATTATACTAATACTATATCAGAAGTTTTTAGAGGTTCATGCGTCCACAATGTGATGGATCCATAAAACACTACTTTCTTGAAAGCCTACAGTTTCTGATTTCAAAAGAACGTGAAAAATCCATTGCCGCAAAATGTTTTTCTGTTTATGCTGGATAATGATTCAATATGAAGTTTCTAGCAATCGTAGCCTTTGTTTTATCTCAATGCAAAAATGTGTCTTTAAAAGTACTAGTAGAGGAAAAAGTAGTAGTTGTAAGATTGACTAAAGCATGGTTTAATGCATGTTCTATTAACAATTGACTAATAGTCAGGGAAGAAGTTATTTTTCCAGCACAGTAATATTAAAGCAAGTCTCTAAAAAAACTTCCAGAAGAAAAGAACTGTGTACTTAAAGTGGTTTTACATCCTTATACAATCATAATTAAGCATATTCCTACTTAACCATTTTTAGTGACAGCTACAGGTTCTCTGTACAGGATTTGTATACTACTTGGCTTAAAAGACAGCTCAATAGACTGAGCAACTTGCAGTTTAACACATTAGGAGCAAAATGATGTTAAGATGGGAATAATTTATTTTCTCACAGCAGTCTAACATCCAGAATTTATCCTAGTATGGTGCAAGGACAGGGGTAATAGCACTCTTAATATATGTTATTAAATGTACTCTATATTAGCTACCTCTCGGTGGAGAGAAACCGAAATGAAATAGTTTGTTTTACTTCCACTGTTGAAGTGGGCTATCATCTTTCTTTTTCCCTAACTTTAAACTAACTTTGTTTTTATATATGCTTAATCTGCATTTATGGGAAATAAAATTAGGAGTAAAACTATACAAGTAAAACCAAACGTATTTGAAAGGTACATCAAAGTGTTTTATCTCGTTTAATTTCTACCTTAAGGGAAAAATTGTGATATGAGCCTGTACCTGCTCATTATAATCCTGTGTGTCTGTATATAGAGTGTGTTTATTTTCCAGAGAGTAGTGAAAAACCTAACTCAGTTTACTTCTTGTGCAATTCCTGTAGCACTTTAAAGCTATAGTTTCAGCTCCCCACTTTAAAGAACTAGAGTTCATTATAAAGAACAAGTTATAGTATTTTGTTTTGTTTTCTCTAAATTGGTCAATATTGTAGATGATGGCTGATCTCATGTTCAGGAAGCAAGATTATGAACAGGCTGTCTTTCATTTCCAGCAGCTCCTAGAACGCAAGCCAGGTGAATATTCAGCAGTGATATTTTTAATTTTTTCTGATACATAGTTCTAATAAGGGAGAGGGATAAATATCTAAAAAATTCTTTGTACGATTAAAAAGAAAGGTGCTATTTATAATGTAATGGATACTAAAAACAAAGACCACTACTGTATAAAAACCATAAAGTTATTGTAGGGGAAGATGTGAAAATTATTTCTCATAGAAACAGTGATTTACCTTGAAATGTAATGTGCATTGTTTACCTCAAGCCAAATATAGCTAGGATGTTAATTACTTGTAACTGTAAAGCACTCTCTTGTGTTTAAGACATCAAGTGCATGAACACAAAGCTAGCATTTTATTTTAAGATTAATAAAGGAAACTTGTCTCAGACAGAAACAAGTTTCTTTTAGCAATTCGGAAATTATGACCAGAGAGAAAGCTACTAAAATCTATTAAAATAATACTATAATGAATGTAAAGCTTTCTAGTGGACTTTGTGAAAGAAGTCATGACAGTATAGCAAATGTTTTTGTTTGAATGCTTTTGAAAGTGAAGTATAACTATACTTATCTTTATACAGGTTTTTTTAGCAGTATTGCAAGCGTCACTTGATATCTTCATTCTTGTATCTGTGGTTACTATGTAATGTGCCTTATGTATTACACCATATATCATTTTTGTATGTGAAAAAACAAGGCAGGCTCGCTATTTTTTTTAAGCTATTCATACAGGAAATAACTAGAATTACAGTGTCCTAATTATTTGTATATTTAGATAACTATGCAACCCTCTCGCGATTAATTGATCTGTTAAGAAGAGCTGGGAAGCTAGAAGAAGTCCCAAGATTTCTTTTAATGGCTGAAAAACATTCTTCCAGAACAAAGCTTGAACCAGGCTTTCACTACTGCAAAGGACTGTATCTTTGGTACTTGCAAATATAATAAGATAAAGCTTATTTGATTATGTAGTACATATTTAAATTAACTTTCTTGTCATCCATTATCATTCAAAGGTGCTACGTACAGTGTGATAAGTAATATAGCACTACTTTCCTAATTACTTAAGGTGCTAGGATTTTAGGAAATGTCTTTTCTCTTCTGAAATACTTTCCAATGAGCTTCTCTTGAAAAAGAAGCTATTTTATCTGTCTCACATATATCTTTCATATTTCCTGCTTGTTAAAAGGGATATTCTTGCTGGTTATAATAATAATATAATATTATTTATTTTCAAATTTTGGAATTTATCAGACTGTTTTTAGTCTGCAAAAACATGTTCCTTGCAATAGTATGCATGCTGTTCAAACCTTGCTTTATCAGTGTGTGCAAGTGTGTCATCTGTTATTTAAATGCTTGGGTTTCTTGGTGGGATTTGGGGCAGCGAATTTTACTTGCCCAGCTTTAAATATTTGAATTATCTGTCTAGGTATACAGGTGAACCAAATGATGCACTCCGGCATTTTAATAAAGCTCGAAAGGACAGTGACTGGGGACAGAATGCAGTCTACAACATGATTGAAATTTGTTTGAACCCAGATAATGAAACTGTGGGTGGTGAAGTCTTTGAAAATCTGGATGCCGACATAGGGTGAGTGAATGAAATAAATACTGCTTAGGGGATTCTGTCATCTCCTTCCTCTGCTGCCCCTTAATAATGTACCTTAATTTAAATTGCTAGAACTTTGAGCTTTGAATATTCTGCTTACTGTATTGTGAGACACCATCCTAGACTGTAATAAGTCAGTCTCAAGCAGAAAATACAGAAGATTTTATCTGGAATCCTGGTCACTTGCAGTGTTAAAAATGGCTTGTTAGGTTGGAACTGCTGTTATTACAGAAGAGAATCTATGTAGAATGCCTATGTAACAGAGCCATCTTGTACAAAATGGCATGCCTTTAGCATGGGATCAGTACTAACTCGTAATGAATTTGGTATGTATTAAAAAAATAAGCTTTTACAAACACTTTCTTTCTGATAACAGTAATTCAACAGAGAAGCAGGAATCTGTGCAGTTGGCTGTAAGAACAGCAGAAAATCTTCTGAAGGAACTCAAGCCTCAGACCATTCAGGGTCACATTCAACTGCGGATCATGGAAAATTATTGTCTCATGGCAACCAAACAAAAATCAAGTGTTGAACGAGCACTGAACACTTTCACTGAGATAGTAGTGGCTGAGGTTAGTAACCAGTCTCATTTCCTCAGTCTTCTCTTTCACACTTACTACATTTCTTTTTTTTTTTTTTTTTTTTAAAACTAGTCTCACAGTTCACTTTCAGGAGCAGTGGCATGTGTTAGTGCTATTAGTTCTAAGGATTTTTTTTTTTTCTATTCAAGAATATTTTATATAAAATTTGAAAAAAAAGTGCTGAAATAACAACAATCTTTTAGAAGATTTCAATTGGATTGCAAATTTATAACTCAACTATATGCTAATGTTGCCAGTTACTGAAATGTGAATAGGCTATTTGATTTGAGTTGCTGAGTTTGCTTTTTAATTCCCAGTCTTGCCAGCAGAGTGTCTGATGATACAAGTCTATACAGTATTTTCATTCTGTAAGCAAAACCAATTAAATATAAGCTGTCTTCATGTACTTCATGGCAATTTGACAGAATTTAGATTCCAGGGCAAGATTATCCATCTGCTTAAAACTCATCCTTATGATGGAAATCTTTGTTATTTTATAGCTACTTGTAGTCATTAGGTTTAGGATTAATAACAAATACTCTTGTTACCAGCACCTTTCAACAGATTTTATTTTAAGCACGTGTAGATGCATTTAGTCCATCAGAATGCCCAGAAATACTTAAGTTACTACTACCCATTGACTGTGTGCTATACTGCTCCTTGGCTGAGCTGAGTATATTGATGCGTATCTTGTATGTAAAGCAGTTCTGAGAATCACAAAAAAGGTGTCCCTGTGCCTCCAGTACTGGCTTCCTAGTCCTGCTCAGAATTGATCTGAGGTCCTGTGAATATTGAATGTTTTTCACATGGTGACACAGTTCCAGCAGGAAGAATGCTCCAGTCTATTTAGTCTTCTCTCCAGAGTTGCATAAAATACAGAGTTTTAATCTCTTCAGACTAAGAGAGGACTGAGTTCATTCCCTCTTTGGGTAACTTCTAGGTAAGTGCTCTTGCCTTGGCTATTATAGGAAAAAGTGGTCACCTCTCTTCTCCTGAGCTCTATTTTTAAAGACTGTAACCTGACAGAAGGTTAAAGTGCCTGAGGTTATTGATCCATGCTAGGTGTGACTATTGAGGGAGAGGGGGGATGAGCTGATCATTACGTGGAAGATGGGCTTTTGGTGAGGGCCTTTTTTTTAACCCACTATGGCAAGCCTATTTACAGCACAACCCTACAAAGAGGTGTAGAGACAGAATACCCATAGTGAGCCAGGAACACTGAGAGGGAGAAAGAAGCTTTTAAGTTAGCTGCTGATAGAACTACTCTCTGCATTTAGGAAGCAGTTTTGGGTTATGAGCCCCATTCTCGTCTATACCCTGTGCTAATAAAGGCAGGATTTTAAAAATCACACTTGCTCCTGCACTTCTTACTGCATGCTTGAGGCTCTTGCATAAAATGGTGGCTTCTAAGAATCATGTTTGTTACTTATAGCTTTGGATACAGGCAGTTTAGACTTACATTTTTAGGAGCTGTGCACCTAATAATAGGAATCGGTGTCCCCGTTACTGACATTTGACAGGCACTTCTAAAAGTAGAAAATACACTTGTATTGTAATTTCAAGTGAATTCAGTTTCTATCTGAAGTATTTATTTGTGTATCAAAAGGATAGATCTTAGGAGTATCAGAATGTTTCTTGTTCAGATGAAATACCTGCAGATGCTTTCAACGTTTCCTGAGCCTGAAGAAGATTGTTTTGAGCCCAAACTTTTATGTTCAGCCTCTTAATTATTTAATGTGGTGTTTATCATGATTAGTCTTACAGAAACGATCATATCACTAGATAGAAAATATGTTTGTAAGGTTGGAGGTTCTATATTTACTTCCTGAGACTTAGCTTTTGGTTTAGTTTTCAGATACCTAGTGAAAGTCTTATTTTAAAAAAAAGTTAAAAGCAAAATAAAAAAGCACCAAGCAATTACTATGCTTTTTACTGCAGAAGGATCATATACCAGCACTTTTGGGAATGGCCACAGCCTACATGATCTTGAAACAGACTCCACGAGCCAGAAATCAGTTAAAACGGATTTCAAAAATGAGCTGGAATCCCATTGACGCAGAAGACTTTGAAAAGAGTTGGCTTCTGCTTGCAGATATATATATTCAATCTGCAAAATATGATATGGCAGGTGAATTATTAAAACGATGCCTTCGTCATAATAGGGTAAGTGACTGCACATTAAAAGTAACCTTAGTAACCTATTTTAATTCATCTAAATATTTAGTTTTCCTCTGTAACATGATTCTGAAGTGTATTTCTTTTTTCAATTGCCTAGTATTTTGCTTATTAAGGAGAACTAGACCAAAACAAGACAGGAAACCAGCAACTTTACACTGGAGGGTAGTAAACAAACCTGTGAATGCTGCTTAGTCATTTTTATTCATATTCTATAAGTTATGCAAGTTTTAGCTGCGGTGACCCAAGAAGCTTAAGGTGTTTATGGAATATCAGAGGTGCATTTTACTGAGTCTCACAAACCTGATGAAGATGTAGCCATATAAATTTTGGAGACTTGCTCCATTTATTAAGCAATGTTAACTTTGTATCTTAAAATATGTTTTTAAATGTTTATGTTCATAAGCCTACTACCATACAGGATTTTCTTTTTTAATGCTAGTATTAATCCTCTGCTATGAAGATACTGTCTGGTAGATTGTTTGGGGACAAGCTCTGATGTTTTTACCTCAGGGTTTCTGAGCAGGCAAACTGCCCAATACTCTGCTTTGACTATAGGAACAGGCACAGATCTTAGCTCTTGTGCGCATTTTTCATTTTGTCCCTTTTTGCTGATCACATTTTTCCATCTATACACTTCACATTCCTTCACATGACGCATATCCAGTACGCTAGTCTTCTACAGATACTATGCTGCAGGTTCAGGATACTGTTTATAGTGCACAGATTTGGCTTAGAAAAGGACCTGATGCTGTATATTTCTTTTTCGGAATCCTTCAGTATAAAAGGTAATGTTCATTATTCAGTCATATTTCTGCAACCTCCTTGAGAGGTAGACTTTTTTTAACTTGTACTCTTTATTTCTAAATAGAAAATTAAGAGGCAGCTACAACAGTTCTTGGTGTAATAGTACTATGTACTTCTGCAGAGATGCCTCTTAATATAGGATGTACTCATTTTCATTTTTACAGAAAATGAGTTTGAATTTAGTTAAGAAAAATTCTACCTGAAGGTCAGTTACACACTTGTCCAGATGGCCAAGGCAAGTTGCAAAATCCATACCACTGGAGGATAAACAGGAGTCATCTACCAAAATAAGACATACCTTGAAATAGATGGTCTGTTGAGTAGGTGTGTACCACAGATGACACTTTGTGGCAGAAATTCCCGAGCAGCTCTGAAAACATAGCCTACATTAGCCTACCAAGTAATTTGTTTTCTTCTAAAAAGTTTGAGACCCGTGAGGGCCTTAGCTAAACAAGCTCTGCTTGATAGGAAGGAGGATGGCAAATCAGAAATTTGCAACTCTGGTTCCTTAACAAAACAGCACAGTAATGCAAAGCAGCTAAGCAGGAATTGTACTGTACAAATAGATGTTGAATATTTTAGATCTTAGAATATCTTGTTAAGTTACAAGACAATATTTTGCGTGGTATTCTCCAGTTTGGAAGATTTGATTAGGTTAGGAAAACATGTTGTGATGAATTAGTTCTTAGGATTGTTTTTAGCAGTCAGAATTGAATGATGTGGATCTGTATATACAATTTAAGTAAGTATGTTGAGTGAAAACTTGATGAAAGCCTAGTATCTTGTAATATGGGTTTGTTTTGATTTTAAAAGACTTAGGTTTGGTTAGTAAGATCCCAATGAGCAGATTGTTTCTATGAAATTGGTGTTTCTTAGTGATTACTCTTCTTGATTTTGAACTTTTTGTTTTGTTTATCACAAATGAGAGGGGGAGTATATTTTTATCCTC